TCCAACCCAGTGCCTGTTGCTAAGGGCATTGTCCAAATGCTGACAGGTTTGGGGCACCAACCACCTCTCCAGGAAGCCTGTTCCAGGGTCTGACCACCCTCTCTAAGGAAATGCTTCCTCATGTCTGGTCTGAACCTTCCCTGGTGCAGCTCTGAGCCATTCCCAGGTTCCTGGGTCCCAGGGAGAAGAGCTCAGCACCTCCCTCTCCCCATCCCCTCCTCAGGAAGCTGCAGAGCCATGATGTCACCCATCAGACCCCTTGTCTCCAAACCCAACAAACCCTGAGTGCTCAGCCGTTCCTCAGAAGACATCATTCCTTCCCACCCTTCACCTCCTTGGGTGCCCTCTACGAGCCCCTAAGAGCCCGGCCATGGGCTCCCGTACATTTTGCACAACTGACTTCCAGAAGCAGCTGCACAGAAAATAATTCAAAATTGAGAAAGAAGGGTGAAACAAGGCCCTGCTATAGCAAGCACTCGGCAAGTGGAATGGTGGATCCAGGTCTTGTGCTAAAGCTGACTGCATTAGTTATTATTAAATAGTTATAATAAGTGCTGGAAGACCACACTGCAATTATTTATAACACGTAACTTACCTGGGGGGTTAGTACACAAAGAAGAGAGATGTTTGCTTATACTAGCACTGGCAGTGCGGCCAGGGCAGCCTCAGGACCGTCCTCTCCTGCCTGATGGCTGCTGGCCACAACCCTGGTCCAGGAAATCCCTTCTCCAGCATGGTGACAACCTCACCCTTAGCAGCTACAAATTCCTTCCTCTAGATATTTGTCCCACCTGCACAATGCCTGAACAAAGGATCAAAATTAAAAAAACAAAACAGTGGCCTTTTGGTGAAGGGATGGAGCAGCACCTCCTGAAGAGCAGTGAGTTTTCTAGGGAAGCAGCTGATGCCATCACTGTTTGCTGAGCTGCACAGCTCGTCTGTGCTATATAATGCCCCCATGCGCAGAAATAAAAGACTCTACAGCAGATCTTGTTCAGTGTAGCATCAGCATCTGCCTGGAAACAGCATGCAGCAGGCACGATGCTCAGAACTGGTACATCCTCTTAAATACTCTACTTGCACTCTAGTCTAAATTCCCTCATAGCTCCAAGTCTCGGAAATTCAAGACAGCACGACAAGCAATTTATCAAAAAGTTTGCATAAACAAGTTTTCAAAAGCTAAGGTTATTTTGTTTTTTCTTTTCTAGCAACTCTAGAATATTTTCATTAACAAAAAGAGTCATCTTTTAACTCTGACTTGCTCTAAGACCAACACTTCTGCTTCAGAGGGAATGATCTAAAAAGCTCATTCATTGCTTTCACCCACCAGTGCACACACACGTGCACACTCACTCTCTCCTCCCTGAGGATGAGGACATGACACTAGTACCTCCTGTTTAATTAAACAGCCCAGCAGTGATAGAATGCAGCTGGGAGTTTGTTACTGTAAAATTCACTTTCATTTCACTTTGCAGGGGCAGGAAGGTGTAGCTCTTCCTTATATGACTTCTCTTATTTTTGATCAGCTTGCTTAAAACCCAATTAAAGGCTCTCAGTTCCCTGAATCATTTTCACTTCACATGATGCAATTAAATACACATTAGGTAAGGTGGGGAGAGGCCATGCGCAGTCCCACGGGTATCTCTGGCCCTTGCTGAGGTCCCTGTGTGGGTGAGAACAAAACCTCCAGTTTGCACTTACCCCTCGCTGAGCGTCAGCGCTGCTGGGGAAGGAACCCGCTTGGTTCTGGTAAGCCAGCGGGCAGCCCTCAGGAAACCACTGCGCGCCTGGCCTCAACCTGTCTCAGCATTTCCAACTACTATGACACAACTGAAGAATACTTATTAATACCATCTTTTCTGCTTTATCATCCCTGCAACAAAATAAACAAAACATTTTCATTTGCTGAACTTTTTAAAAAAGTAATGCTGTAAGACATTATTAGTCTTGACTTTCATGTCAAAGAATAAATTTGTTCTGTTATGCAGAGCTCATTTGCTGAAAATAAAAGGAAAAGTAGGGCCACTTTAGTCAACCTACACAACCTCACGAATGCAGTCTGTGCAGCATTGTACTTACATGCACATCCCTTAAACACTGTATCTATACAGTATATTCACACAAACTTGTATTTTTGCTGTGTATCCCATTTCTAAAGTAACACATTTAGTCAAAACAAGGGGACAGAACAAGTGTTAGAAACAAACCTAGAGTAAATTTTGATGCCAAGACTGAGGAAATCTGAGGAGGTCTTGTTTCCTGGGAATTACACAGCAATAGTTCTTCAGTGGTGCTCTCAGCTCTACTAGTCTGCAAATGATTTTTAACAGCTGTGTCATAACTACATCATTTAGGCAAACTGGGGTAACACGAAGGTCAGGAAGAATTAATTACCACCACTGAATTCTGTTTCATTCCATAACCTGGAGTTCCAGAAGATGCTAGAAACTCTAGCACACAGGCAGAAACAGCCTTCAGTAAGTGCACTATGAACTGGGAGGAGAAACATTCATGGTCTCTGGCTAGCCATGTGAAAAAGAAAAGTTAAAAACCTTACATCAGCATTATCTCATAGATCACTTGATAACCTGATGTCATGGTTTAACCCTGGTATGCAGCTAAACCCCACACAGCCGCTTACTTTCCCCCGGTGGGATGGGGGAGAGAATCGGAAAGGCAGAAGTGAGAAAACCCATGGGCTGAGATAAAGACAGTTTAACAGATAAAGCAAAAGCCGCTCACACAAGCAAAGCAAACCCAGGAATTCATTTACCCCTTCCCATGGCAGGCAGGTGCTCAGCCACCCCCAGGAAAGCAGGGCTCCGTCATGCTAAGGGTGACTCAGGAAGACAGACACCACAACTCTCAATGTCTCCCCTTCCTCCTTTGTCCCCCAGCTTTATATGCTGAGCATGATGTCATACAGTATGGAGTATCCCTTGGGTCAGCGCCTTGCTGGTGGGGTGGCAAGAAACAAGAAAGGCCTCCAGCTGCGCAAGCACTGCTCGGCGATACCTCAACCATCCCCGTGCTATCACCACTGCTTACATCACAAATCCAAAAACCACACTATACGCACTATGACGAACATTAACTCTACCCCAGCCAACACCAGTATTCCTAACACTGGCAAAAAGGGTATTTTCAAACTCTGAAGAACACAGAGGTTTCTGATACTTGTTAAGCAGAAAAGTATGTTAAGCTACAGGCTTTAAGCGCAGTTGGGAAAGCGTAGCTAGCACTATTATTGACACAGAAGCCAGGTTACTTCATAAGTAAAGACCTCACCATACCAGCCCACAACCACTTCGCTGCACATTTCTGCGGGTGGCCATAATGCCACCGGCTGATCCTGGTCCTCCACAAGTAGGGGGACAGGGGGTTGAGAGAACTGTTGTCTCTCTGGGATTTGTTCAACCGACGCTGCTATGCTTACCCAAGCTCTGCTATTGCTACCATTTCTTTCTGCCCTCTGTGCTGTTAGCCATCCTTTCTTTTAAATGCTGCAAAAACAAAGAACAAGGATAAGACTGGTACCACCCTGCCAGCCTCTATTTTTTTCATGACTTTTAATCCAACCCTGCCAGTAACAGCACTACTGCCAATTCTTCCTCCAGAACCGCCCCCAGAGCCACCGGAGGTTCCCCCCCCCCTTCCTTAAACCCCCTCCTGCATCCACCACCCCCAGGCCAGGACAGTCCTCCTCCTCTCTCCTTGTTTGAAACACCAGCCTCAGCACCTGGGGGTACAACAACCTGATGAGGGGAAGGGAGGCTGAACTAGATGGGGTTTTTTCAGCTGTGTAATAGAAATGAGCTTGGCATCCCCCGTTGGGTTAACAAAGGGTGCAAAGTCACTCAGACTTATTTCTGTATGAAAAAATTAGTTTCACCTGACCAGTTCTGTTTTCCTCAGGATAAGGGCTTTGTTCCTCAAGGATAAACCTAGAAATGACCATAGTTCCAGCTGCAAAGTGCAGGGACCTGGGCTGGCATGTAAACTGCCAGCACATCTCCCTGCCATCCGCAGTTTTAGCTCCTCACAGCAGTGGGGAACAGAGCCTGATCCCCAATCAGGGAATGAGCAGGTCTGGCACACTTCCACAAGCTTCATCCAAGCAGGATTTCTCAAACAAGTCACCCTACTTCAAATCCTAAACAAGCCTTGTTAGATGTTCTGACATAGCTGGAAGCATTCAAAACAGAATGACGTTCAAAACATTAAGAACTAAGAACAGATGAAATAACACTTTAAAGAAGAGACTTTTAATGTAATACTATAACCCATACATGGACCATTTAAAAAAAAAAAAAGAAAAACTAGAATGCAATGAAACTTTGAAGTGTATTCCACCATGACTTATCTAACCATGTTTCCTGTAGTCTGAAATTTCAGTCAGTGATGATGACAGATGGGCACAGAAAGTGAACAAAGATTAATGGAATGGGATGAAAGGTAGAAGAGAATATTTCTGAAGATTGTTTCCTCCCACAGTACAAATTTAACAAGTGTTTTCAAGTTCAGTTTAATTAAGCTATAATTACCTTCTGTGGAAGTGTTGGTGAGAAGACTGCTGCACAGCTGGAATAACACAGTAAGTATAATTACTCACCACCCACAATTAAAAAAAAAAAGTTTTTTGAGATGTTTCTACCAGTAGCAAGAACAGTTTAAATATTAAGCAGTATTTTAGCAGTTTTTTGAATATCTGTTTGTTACCTGATAGGTAAAAAAAAAAAAATAATAAAGCTACAGCAGGACAAGAACCATACATCAACTAACACTGCTAGCATTGCATTTCCTCTTATTTAAAAAGCTACACCGAACACAGAATACCATGCATATACAGATATTACCAATAACTATTTTGAAATAACTGCTCTTTAGTATGAATTACCAGCTTACCCTAAAAAAGTTTTTCCTCTAGCTAAATAAATGCTATAAAAAAACAAAACAAAAAAGGTGAATATGTCAGCTTTATCGATACAGATGGAAGTGCGTCAACTATAGCGTTCACTCTGGAATCGTGGAGCATAGTTTCTGGCACTTTCATTCTCCTGTGTTGTGATTAAGTCTATAATAGCTGTCAGTACTGCTGTATCCCTGGATTTAGTATCATTCCAGTCCACGGGATGAGGGTTTTCTATTTTTTCTTGTAGAAGATCATCGAGTTCTTGTCTTAAATTCTGCAAAGAGTTTATTGGAATGAAGGAAAAAAAAAAAAGAAAAAGCAATTAGAGCTACACGCAACAAATCCTTTGGGCCCTCTGTTCTCTTAATCTTTACACCTGCTGTTTTCCTATCAATTCATTTCAACATTTTCAGCATCAAAAGCTGCTTCTCAAAAAAAGCAGCAGTTTTACCTTGACAGATGACCATGTCTGGATGTGATGCCTTTAAGAGCCTATACATCCTTTAGCTGACTACTTCAGGATTAAAAATATTTGGGTTTAAAAAAACAGATATGATTTCTAGGATCTAGTACTAAACAGAGCTCTGTTCAGGTCCTCCTTCCACTGGACCTTACTAGTGCTAGCTGACAAGCCCCATCCTCATGTTTCCATGTTCCTGCGGACATTTCATGGACTGATCAAGTCATCCTACAGCTATTGCTATGGAAAACTACAGAGATTAAGCTCTTCAAATCTCTCACTGTAAGACATGTTTATAAATCCTTTAAATCCACCCTACGACTCTTCTCTGAAGCTTCTTCTTCTTTTTCAATATGCCCACGAATACTCCAGCAGAGGCTGCACCAGCTGAACAAGAACATCACTGCTATATTCCTCACAGACACACAGCCTCATTCTCCTTAGTCAAGCTATTACACTGGAAACAATAAAAATAATATATCTGAATTCCTGCTCCTAACGCTAAACATAAGGAGTACATGACTGTTTACTTCTTCCCAGGTACCACGTGAAGCAGACTGTTCAGAATGTTAATTTTACTACTGCATTTTAACTTGCATTCATCAACGCACCTTCAGTAGTTTGCTTTTGTTTACTTTGTGCATTTGAACTGCTTACTAGGAATACATTTAAAACACTATCATCTCCCTGTAGTGATAAATCAGTAGGTACACAGTAATAGCAAACACAGAAATCTCTAATAAAATCCGTGTTACACCAAGTCTTCCGTGTACAGTATTTAACATAGTCACCTTAACTAAGTGTGCTATTCTTGCTGGAGACTGGAAAACAATCCATTCATCCACAGCGATGGTATCCTGATCTTTATCCTTCTGAATGGATATATCTCCTCCGAAGAACAAGAGACAGTACGGAGAGACCTCTGTACAGTCATACAAGTAAATCTGCAAGACGACAAAATTGCCCAATGACCCTTCAAAACCCGAAGTGATACCGTAACCCTTAATGAAACTCATGACAGAATTCCAGATCATTACTCAGAATCACTCAAATTTGCAAGACATATCCAAAGCAACTCAGTTGGAAAAAGTTCCATGAATCAGATTAAACAGGAGCAAAACCAGTCCCAAATGCAGTCCTTTACACAAAGTGGTGAAATTGAACCAACTATTCCATAACAATCAGAGGGAAAAAAAAAAACCAATTCAGCATACTCTAAAGTGCTACACCGGATTGAAAACTAGTAATAAAACAAAATATTACACCTGCCATTCCCAGAACCTTAAAAAAAAACAAAACAAAATATCAAAAACCCCTCAACCAACCAAACCACCAGATTAGTTACTTGTGGAACTCATGATACCACTTGTATCACAAAGAACAAAATCGGATGGCATGCAAAAGAAATGACCCAAGACAGGAAGGCTTTGAACAAAGACAATGTTCACATCCCCTTTGAACTTGAACATCCTCATCTTATTAACGGGCTACAAAAATAAATTATACAAATATAAACCTTCACATACACTGCTAGTTCTCATCTTCAAATGGTACACAAGCCAGTTATAATGGAACTCTGTTTCTTCCACATTAACCGATTTAGGATGAATATTGACTGTTCCATCTGTCTTGGTGCAAACTTTCACCCTTAAAAGAGAAAAGTTTTAGTTTATGATTGAAATAAGATCTTGAGAAATCTAGCACAATCACGTCCCAAGTTAAAAACCCCTCCGGTTATCCACTAGTGTTCTAAACTCTGAAAATACAAGGACAGTCAAAGAAACTTTAACCCCTTTCCCAAAAGATTACAACAATCTACAATACAAATTTTTAGACATCTCTCTCTCAATTACAAAGTTTGAATTCTTTGCCAAATTCACCCCCTTAATAAACCCTGTCATTCTCACAAGTAGAAAAAGTAAGTGGCATTCTTTTTTCCAAATGAAGGACTCTGAGTTACTGATTTTGGTTAAATAAACCACGTTCCAAACAATCTTTTGGAAAAACCACATGAAGAACTTACACATCCAAATTCTTTGCTCAGCGTTAAGTGAGTGAACATGGGAGTTCAGTGTTTTGAAACAGAAAAGGGGTGGGAGAGCCTCTCCAGCAGAGCAGTTAGCATAACAAACCTCGTGCAGCGGATCATAAACCAGAACCTTCCCAGGCAGGGGGCTTACACCTAGCTCCACCATGCGGCAAAGACACAGCGACACAGTGACTTGCATCAGGGTTCCAAACTTACCACTTTTAGGTGACTCCAGCAGACTGGACTGTTTAAAACGGAGTATCAAATGACTGGCAGTGTCAGCTACAGACAGGCCTAAATTACACAATCTGAGGTAGAATTTTGACTACCTATTCCTACTCCTTTCATAGAAATAATCACTTGGGGGTTTTTTGCTTGTTTAATTAGAGGCATGATTGCTCCTAGCTTGCTGTTTTGACATTACACACCCAGAAAAAAAAAATCAATCCAATGTTCAACTCTTCATTCTGTCTTAATAAGAATAAATAGTCTGATAATCTAAGTAGTGATAAATCAGACTGTAATTTCTGGACTCAATATTGCCAATATGAAAGGAGAGCGTTTCAACTACAAACCAACATTAAACCAAACCCTTACATTTTTCTCTTTTTGCTGAAGCTTGGCCGGATCTTTGCAACTTTTGGATATAAACCAGCACAGATGACTGCTTTGAGCAACTTCTCATTATCTGTAGAAGACAGCAAAGTAAATAACGTAGTTCTGCAAACGGAGAGCGCGGCTATCAGAAATTTTCCAGTTCCTTCCACTGCTTGCCTGAGTTGGTATTCGATTTGGGATCCTTGGGGTCTCTGCTATTCACAAATCCAGCTGCAAGGAGATGCTCAGCAAACTGTCCTTTCATGTTATGCAGCATCTAGGAAACAACAACAGTTGTCCCAAAACGACGCTGTGCCAAAAGGCTCCTCTCCCCTTTTCCCCCACAGACATGATCCTCTCTTTGAAACTGTCAGGATCTTACCTGGAGGGTATTTGAAGACAGGAAGTACTCCCAGCAATAGTCTTTCTCAGTTCTGAAACCACGACGCCGAGTCTCTTCCCAGCCCTAATAATTAAAACAGTAGTTCAGAGACGTTTTTAAGTGAACACTTACTAAAAAATTAAGGACAGCAAAAACTGGAGGTCAATAAACAATATAGTTACAGTTTTCTCTACAAGAGAGAAAGCAAATCCTTTGATGTCTTTGTATTATGTATATGCAGCACAGAACAGCAAAACACAACTTTACATTTTCAATCAAAAACTTCCTTTTTCTATGGCGAGGAGTGAAATCTAGCTAAGTTTGCCAGAACTTCATTTGTTGCGATTAACAGTCCTGGGTTGAAACTGTATTCCAGGCCATTTATTTCCTTTTCTTCTTGCCCCAACACCGTACAGCTAAATATCCAACACTTCTGAAGTCAGCTTCAGCCTCTTGTAGGGGAGAGAAGGACAAGAATTAATGACTTCAGCAAGGTAACTATAACATTATGTTTTCTTTCATAGACTTATCCACAAGAAATAAAGTTATTGAGCTGAAGACAAGACTCCTCAACACTAAAAGGGTGAAAATTGATTTGGTTTTATGTTTCTGTAAAAGCCAAGAAAGAAATACTTCAGAGCATAAACTGACCAGTGTTTTCCTCAGTATAATCCATATTACTCAAATTAAAATTTTAGAAGAAAAAAAAAAAAAAACATTAAAACATGCCTACCGTGAAAGCATTCACCACAGTTAGATGATCACTTTTAGAGTTCTTTGACAGTTCCTTTCTTCTTGCATCTGCTACTTTCTCTTTGCCCTAATAATTAACAGCATACAAAATATTCATGACTGACATGACAGTTCTCTTTTCCTAATTAAGCTACATACCTACAGCAGTATTTCATATGCTACGTACTATGAAGTATTGTCTTTGCCTGCAGAATATTGGAAGTAGCTTTAATTTTCATGTATGTGACGGCAATCTTTTACTAATAAAAATGCAATTAACATGAAAGTAAGATTAAAGTGCTTTTAAACGATAACATCTCAGGAAGTCCCCATATCCTTCTGAGATTCTTAAAATCTTATGTGTAACTCTCTTAGAAACTTTACCAGAGGAATGACAAAAGGGTCTTTGAAGCTGAGGCTAGCTGCAATTGTTAGTACTGGATCCAAGCAGCAGAATAAAGCTCCAAAGAGGATCATTTTCCCAATGTGTGGTTCAACTGGCAATCGTGCTAAATGGACGCCTAGTGGAGTCAGTTCTTCTTGCCTGTCCAAAGCATTCTGTCAGGAAGAAAGGAAAAAAAGAATAAAGTCAGTATTTGAAGAGGAGAGGATTTCTGTGAAATAGCCACTAATATACCTAGAGAACAAAGGAAAGCCTAATAGCTAGCTGTAGTAGCATGTGATAGTAGGAAAGTGATCAAGCAAGTTATGAAAAAATCGAAATGTTCAATTAGAGCCAAGAAAATGGGAAGCATCTTTAATTGTGTTCCAAGTGGTTTATTAGGGCTCAGTGTCTTTCTGGACAAAAGTATGAAGAATTATCAACACTTGAATTGTCTTCCTATTCTCATGATCAAGCTTATTTTTAAACTTGTATCTTATCCTCAATATCACTTCTGTTTGTCTTTACTCCATCCTGTGCTACCATGCAGCATTGTCACAGAACACCAAATCTACAGCTGAATTTTATCTAAACATCTACAGAGTCATGCCATCAGCCTAAATACTGCCCATCATTTAAATGAGATATTTCTATTTATTGCTACAACTGATTGGTACAAATAATACCAGGGCAAGTAGTACAAATCTGTTGTTAATCTCTCCTTCCCCAGCATCCAAAGGGGTAATGACATACAAGATCTTTCTCCTCCTATACACCTTATTTGCCCACAGAAAAAGTGTCTCAAACTTCTCACTTATCTGCCTGGAATAGGAAGGTTTGACAGATGCAGCCACGAGCAGGGTGATACAGAAGCAGCAAGTTAAATAAATATCTGTAGGGAACTTAATGCAAGGTGCGTGCATACGTTTCGAGTAATTCAGAAAGTTTCTCAGGAACTACCCTACGCAGCCATAAACACTGTTTTATTATGTGGAATTATTTTCTCTGTTCAGTGAGGATATATAAAGGGTCTACAAAATATGTTAAGGGGTTGCAAACATCCAGACCTCTACCATCAGAACTGTCTGATAACAAACAGTGTGGTAACAGGGTTCTGAACAGATTTTTCCTTGCATCTACATTAAGCAATACTTTACCAGCTCCATTAGATGATTTATGGCCAACATTACAGCATCACGAGAGGGTGGATCCATTAGTTTGCTCAGAAAATAAGCAATTCCACCAAGCTTTAGAATCTGAAAGAAAAAACCCACAAACACAAAACTACAGCAATTGGAGTAAGATGGCTATCTAAAATTAGTATGGATACTGCTTACTAATTAAAAAAAGTGCGAATAATTCACAGCTCCAGTTAGAATTTCACTAATGAAGAACTAAGGACAAAAATAAAAATGTATTACTGATGAAATTTGAAACATAAGGATCTAGTCTTCATCCAGTATGTACACACATGGTATTCCTTATGCACAAGGAATTCAATATAAACTGCCAAAAAGGAAACCCACATCAGTTCTAAAACTACTTTTTAGTAAAATTTTGGTTAATAGACTTCAGCTGTTATTTATACTTGACAATCCTATTTTTCCTGGGTTTGATGCATCTACATACAAGTATGCATTTTGCAAAAGTTGCTACAATTATTAGCTGAAGAGAACTGTAACAGAATTTTGACTTGAAGACAGCCCTAGGCTCACAGTTGCGTTAACTTAATCTCTCGATCTCTTTTTCCAATGGAAAAGTAAATAATAATGTTTGAAGATTCATATGTTTACCTTGATTTGTAAACAGAGTTCTTCCAACGGTGTCCTCAAGATCTCTGGTAACTGATAATCATCTAGAAGGCTCGCACGTAGTCCATTGTATAGATGATAACAGTGGCCTGGCTGAACTCTGGAATTATGTAAATAAACAATTGTATTTTTTTCCCCCCGACACTGTGACATCAGGATTGTGTGTGTTCATAAACAGCTTTCCAAACCACCACAGGGAATTAGAACTGAAGCATATTCAGTTGTAAAAGCCATTTCAGCTTCCTGAAACAAAAGGCATGCAGAGCACAGCAGCCTCCTAGCACCTACTCAAACGGAGTAATGAGGAGACCAGAGAAGAACCAAAAGTCTGAACAAGAAAGAAAATATTCCACAAGGTATTTCAAGAGGGAGACACAGTTCAAAAAGTGATATTAATTTGCACGCAATTTTCAGTTTAATGTATCAGAGCTTTATAAATCAGGTGTGAAGGCAAACATTAACAACAAATAATTTAAAAAATGCAGGATTTATCATTATATGACGAGGGAAACTCATGACTTAAATGCACACAAGCTGTCAGTGTCCCAGGAAGACAAAGAACCCATTCTTTCCAGAAGAACAAGATAGGGTTGTGCCAGCATCTGCTGCTGAACATGTGAACAACAAAGTAGTATGTTCAGCAGCACGTGCTCCAAAACTGATGGAAACTTAGCAGCACAAAACTTTTCTAACTATCCCCATTATTCTTACCTTCCTGCTCGACCTTTCCTCTGCTTGGCATTAGCTTTACTAACCCACTCTGCTGCCATTGTGCTAATGTTGTTCTGTGTGTCAAAGTGAGTTTCCTTTATTTTTCCACCGTCTATAACGAACACGACATCATCTATTGTAATGCTGTTTAAAAAAGAGAGAAAAAAAATGCAACTTCATCTTTGCAAGCTTAACCTAGGATTTTAAAGGAGTTTAGCCTCTCCCTACCCCTCCCAAACTGTGAGCCAATAAAAAAAAAAAAAATTCTGTGTTGGAATTTAATTGAGAAAGCAGCTCAAAAGCAGGCTTGATTTATTCTCCTAGGTCTGGTAAAAGTCACCACCTGGGGTTATAAAGCCTGCAGACAGGATAGGCAGCTCAGATCTATCATGTACAACAAAGGCGAATCATTATAGTATGATCCCTGTTTTAATTGTTTAAAACAATCAAAGGAAAACTCCTGTACAGTCTATAAACACTTCTAAAGATAAAGTGTTATAAATGAATGGTACAAATACAAAAACATATTATTTTTGGAAACATTAAACAGGTTTATACTTTACCACAGGTTTATTTTGTTAAACGTATAGCTTTTTTTGGTCTGTATAGCTAGCTATTTACCTAGTCTCTGCAATGTTGGTAGCAATCACGATTTTCCTTACTCCTGGCGGGGTCTTCTTAAAAACCTGTAATTATCCATGGCCAATTTATATGTTTGCCAAAACCAAACATATGCTTAATTTTTTTTTTGTAGTTGTGAAATGTTATTTTATTTCATAACAACAAAAGAAAAGCATACCTGAGTCTGGTTAACAGTAGGCATCAATGAGTGTAAAGGTATGATAATAAACCTATCTGAAAATGAAAAATCAGTAAAAGATATGGGGTAAGTACAGAAACTTTAATTTTACAGGAAAATCAAGTATGCAGAGTAGAGAAAATATGCTGCATGTAAGTCTACTGTTTCTTATTCTGAATTCACAGGTATACGTATCATAATGGGAAATTCTAAAGTAAAAAGGTATAAAGAAGTTTGGTTTTTTTAATCATGCTATAACGACAAGTTTAAGAAAATATATGAAGTTATGTAATTTGTATTTCATTTTCAAATTCTCAAGTTACTTAATTGCTCAAGTTTAGTAAAGAAACTGACAATCTCCTCAATCTTTCAATAAATCGAAATTCTTTATCTATGAAATGTATACAACATGCACTGTAAGACAGCTATCTGAATAGTTAAGACCACAGTTAGATGAAAAATGAGTTATGCAAACAGGACAAATTAAAGTGTATCGGCTAGGCATGGAGTATTTTAGTGTCCCAGGAATAAACAGGATTTAAAAGAACTATCAGCAAAGCAGTAGACAGAAGCTGCTGAAGAATCAAAAAAAGAGGAAATGAACCCAGAATGAAGAACAAGTTTAGCTTTGAACGGCTGTTATCATGGCTGCATGACAGGACAGAAGAAAAAAACCGTAGGTCTGAGATTCTTTTTCAGACTGTTCACTCCTACACTGAGGAAAATGAGTTATTATCATTAGCAGATGAAAGATACCACAGAAATGCAAAAAATGCTGAACACACTGTAATCGTTTTGAGAGGAGAGACAAAAGAATAAAGAGGAAGACAAAAAATCCAGTGCAATACCAGCAAATCACATTCAAAAATTAAGAGTTTGCCACTAACGCTACTGCTAGAATTCCCATGTAAAATTTTGGTTTTACCTGACTTAAACATGACTTGTGACATCAAGAGATCATGCAAAGTGCTAATGTTGTCCCAGCCCGGAAGAAACACCAGAATTGCGCCATCCTATACATAAAGGAGGGAGGAAAGGGAAAAGAGGTTAAAGTTACCTGCTATGCAAAGAACCAGCTACTTGCACACTAATACACAGGTGTTGGACAGGGGATATTTGAAACCTCAATGACTCAAATTTGCAACAAAGTCTCTAAGATTGTTTTCTACAAAAGTGTTAGCTACATATATTTATCTGAACATAATAAATAAAAGATGGATCTTAAATATTTTTCCGGTGCAGTGTTTTAAACACTGCCATGTCAACACTAGAAGAATTTGAGCTGCAAACAAAACAGAGAGAAACTAATGTATAATTTTTGACACAGGAAGAACAAAATATGAAACAGAAACTCATCCTCATTACCCACAGCTTAAATGATTTATCAACTGAAATATTAAATTATTTGGTATTTTTAATAATAAATTTTAATAATAAAAATTGTCTTTAAGGAATCAGCCAAGGCGTCAGCTCTTCCACAGAACACAAATATGTAACTTCAGGTTATGACAATCTATATATGTTATACCTAAGGCAACAAGTTATTCTTCTGTTTGTAACTGCCTCAGGCACAATATCCTTCTGATATTGGTGCTCTGATGATGTTACTACTAAATAATAAGGTAAGGCACATGTGGGGATAACCATTAATGCAGCTGTATTAACTACTAAGCTTGACAAGCTGAAAGCATCTCCTAGCTGTGTGTTTGGTAAATGTGACCAGACTTCTGCTAGGCTGTGTAAAAATTCAGTCTCCACAGCTTCTTAAGTCATATTTAGATTACTGAGGCAGAAAAAACATTAAAGCCAACTGTAAAGGGCAGCGAACATCAACCCTAGGTATTGCTCTTGCCCTCTCCCTCCCACGGCTGAGGAATTAAGAATGGAGATTTAGCTGTACACTAGAGGGGGTTTCAGACATTTTTCTACAGCTATTTCACAAAAGGTATCTTTTACTACACACTACAAAGAATACTACCCTTGACAAACACACACAGTTACAGAAAGCACTAGAAGTTAAATTTTAATTTCTAATTACATTACTCTCCATCAAATAACTAAGGTGTATAAATAATTTGAAGGCTTATTTAAAAGCTCATCCAAAAGGAAAAAAAAAAAAATGCAGCATTCTTGATCAAAATGGCATCCAAACCTTCAGATATCTATCCCATTTTATTTACGGGACAATCCCCACTGTTAGTGAAAGAATTCAGGCTCTTTTTTCCCCTTGCTCCGAAGGGGCCATAAACGAGCATACCCAATGTATTTCCAAGTTTCTTATGTACACAGCTCTCATTAATACCCACAACTCTACTCAAGAAAATGCTTAGATATGTGCTCCCCTTTACACATGATTTCAATAAACACTGAATTAACCACATTCTAAACTCAAGGCTTAAATAGTAATTAGGTATTTAAAGCTGTTAATTAATTCTCAGAAGAGAAAAACAAAATATTCTTCTTCTTTGTATCTGTATGGTAAGCCAAAGTAATATTGGCTCTGACATGCCCAACAGCCACTGACGACAATTCAGTCACATCACTAAAACGTGATGACAAGAGACAGAAGCATACCTCTTCTTCCAAAACGATGTGTCTGATAAGTGCTGCTATAAGGTCAAGGTCGACCTTGTCATCATCCATCATTTCCAAGGCATCTATAGTACTTGCGGAATACCTACAGGCATTGAAAGCATTCCTATCGGTAACTGATTAACATACAAAGTCACACACTCATGTTTCTGTTATCAGGCTCTGCAATCACACCTCTATGCAACCCACTACTGCTCAATTTATCTCTGTTCAGTCACTGTACCTCCAACGCACTCTTCAGATTTAGCTTAGCGTGATTATCGTCAGTTTAAGAATTACCATGTTATGGATGAACTGCATTTGAAGCATTTACATGATCTTTCTCCTCCTCATGGACTTACACAATCTGAGTTTACCCTTCAATTGATCTCCCTCTGACAGAGTACAGGAGACATCCCATCTGTTCAGGCCTTTGACTTCATGAAAGCTGAAACTATGGAAAGAACTGCCACTTGGTTCAAAAGACACGGTGGGAAAGGGAAGGAGGAGTACAAATGGGATGAGCAGAGCACAGAATAGGCCAGAGATACAGCACTGAGGACTCTGCCCTTAGAAAAGGGAGATAAAACTGAGCCACCTGTATTCATGATTGTTACTAAGCTGAGTATATAAAGACACCCAAAATGCAGAGGACAAATAAGACAGGAGAAAAACAGGAAGATGCTGTTCTTGAATAAGTCAGCCAAGCTATCCAAGTAATTAACTTACCGAGATTACTACAGTAGACAAATGCTGGCAAACAAAAAAGTGTTTCAAGTGGACAATCTCTACTAGGTGCTCAAGAGGCAAAATTATTTGGCTTGATTTTAAGCCATGCTAGAGGACTATTCAAATATTCTGAGGAAAAGATTGTGGTGGGTTTGGGTTTTTTTTACTATTATTATTATCAAAACCAGCACATTTTGTATTATGCTGATTATGACACTAAAATACTGTGAGATCTCTCTCAAAGAGAGAGAACTGAAGAAGGGGAGAATTCATCAGAAGTAATGACCAAAGCTCAAGAAGCCTAACGTTATGTTGAAGACTGTAATGGACAATACCAACATCAGTAGCAGGCAACTCCACAGCTGTAAGAGAACTTACAGTTTGCACATGCAAAGGAAGCAAACTCTGATAACCCTAAAGCACTTTAACGGTTACCAGCCAACTGTACTGGCAATTCCATCGTTACTGTTTTCCAGGATACCAACTATCACATCGTTAATAAAAGCACAGGAATAGAATACACCACTAATTTATGTTTCTCAGTTAAGTGCCTGAACACTTAACACAAAAGAGTAACTTGAGAACAACCTGCCCCGCAGCTGCCTTAAGTAGTCTGGCCATTGTTCCCTGTAGATTTCCTCTTTTTCTTCTTTTTCTGGTCTGCTTACATGTCCTTGCATGAAGCCTTTCTTCCACCGCGGCCGACGGTCTGTGTTTTCTGGAGTATACCTTTACATTTAAATAACAAACATAATTTAATTTACTTTAGTTTCAAAATGGAAGCCAGCTGCATAGTAGTTTTCCAAACTATGGGCAATATGCTGCACTATAGCTATACCATGTAAATAATATTCTTAAATTTATTTCTGAAAGAAATCTTACTTATAAAAACAGGTACCATCTGTAGTAAGCATGAGAACACGTAGGAAAAAAAAAAAGTCTGAACAAACAGAAAGACTAGCTTGATTTAGTAGCCTGAAAATTCACCACCAAAAGACAGAGAAGGTTTTTTCCTCCTCAAGCCAACATTTCCAGGTAGCTGTGTGCCATTTTTAATTACCGTAAAAGCTACTAAACTTCCCTTGAAAAGTTTTCTGTTGAAAAACACAGCTAGCTCTTCTATAGGCTATTTATACCATGAGAATCTTTGAAAAGACATACCAAGCAAAAATCTCCCAAAATACTATCTATAATGGTGTTCAGAAAATACACTTACCTCAACTTCTCAATTACATCTTCAAGAAGATATTCCACCACGGGGAAAGTGAACCCAGGTATGTGAATCATTGGACAATTATCTGTTGAGGAAGGCATAACTCAGTTTTTAAACAGCAAATAAAATACTGTACTGAAATAACAGAGGCAATAAACATTCTTCACTATTTTTGCAATACAGTTGCCAAGTCTATAGCATTTTTCTGTTTATTTTTAAATTCTCACAGAAGACACCAAATTCAATTCCAAATAATGTTGCTGAATAAAAAAAGCATAGGTAGTAAGCCGTACATTGTTCTCCCGCATGTTCATCTGGTTCCAGCTACAGGATAAAGCTGGAAGCCTGAAAAACTAGAAGGCTTGAATCTGGTTGCCCACTCACACCAAGACTTCTAGCATAGTAAATGTTTACTAATATTTACCATATGAAAACACTCTAGAGATATTGTTTCCACAATACATCTGAAAAGCAAGTCCAGAAGCAACATATGCTCATGATGAGATAAAACTAAGGGAATAAACATCTCCAGCAGCTGGCAACTATTTGTAAAATTGAAGTCATTACCTCTTTTGATAAAAAACAATCCTAAAATTTGAGAACTGCATTATACTGTACAAACCTAAATTACTGAAGAGGAACATTCATAGGAAGCATTTCACCTACCAAAATACTCTGAAAACTTCTCTGCATTTAAAGTAGCACTCATCAGTATTACTTTCAGATCCAAACGAATATTCAAAAGATCTTTAATAATGCTCATTAAAACATCCGACTGAAGATTTCTTTCATGAATTTCATCAAGGACTACATGACTAATGCTGGACAAGTGCCTAAAATAGAAGAGCAGGAAGTTAAATATTTCCTTTTTTAGCAAAATTAAAAAAACAGAGCTGAAATTGCTAGAAACAGCTCGGTAGTCAAGTAATTTCGTAACTGCATTCAGTTTCTTATTACATAGGAAAACTTACTTATCTGACTGGAGCCACTGTAGGACAATTCCTGTAGTACAGTATAAAATTGAACCTTGTTTCCTTGGCAACCGACTGAAAGAGATACATTAAAAATTCCTCAGTTCTCTTCTGTATTTTACAAAGTACTTTAAAAGCTTAAAATCAAAACACAGATAGTCATTACAGACATTATGAAGTACGCCTCATTCTCTAACTTGCTCACTTACAGTTCAATTGGAGGAACAGGGAATTAGGCCACAGTTGCAGCATCTCTGTTGATGGGAATGAACTACTTCTAATCTGACAGAAGCCCTGACTTCCCAGACATCATTTCTCATCATTTGCACATTGATCTGCTGACCCCAAATTCTTGCAGCTATCTAAGCTCAGCACAGATGACAGCTAAACGTACAGCAGTGTAACATTCTTGATTAAATAGTAAATATAAATGAGATCCTATAAACTCAAATTAAAACGCTGAAAGGACTAAGCTGTCATCTCTCACCAGAAGTTTTTCCTTGACAATAACTGAGATTCCATTATTTGCTGGTAACGTTTCAGATTTTTTTTTTAAATTATAGATGACTCCAAATATAATAGCTTCTGCTCTCTGGCACTAGGTCTATGAACTCTTGCCAATGCACCTAACCTTATTACCTGATCCCAGTGGGATTACTCAATAGGTAAGTGTAGCCAATATATAATTTTCCCCAGAAAGACAGCTTATAGTATTCTCTCCTTTAGCATTTCCATTTTCCCTTGAAATTCACGGGTTAGGGACATCAGTTTCACCTCCATCTATAGCAAGGCCTTTTAGAAAAGCTGAAAAAAAGGCCTTACTAGACCAAGTACGACTTGGTGCTAGCCACTGTTACATGTTGCATAAAATACAATAATCACACTCAAACTTTTTGCTAAGTTTCAGAAACCTTATTCCCTACCCCAGCTATTCACAGGAATACCTTTTGTAGAAAATTTCAGAATGAAAGCAGCCATTTATGTTAAGAGCTACATCTCAAATTTTCTTGCTTAAACAACAATCAATACCATTTTAAATGAAAGCACAGAAACTGCCAAGGGAGCCTCTCTCACCTCTGTAGACGAATTTGGTATCCAGTACTCTTGCCATTACCACATGCTTCTGCCCTTTCAGCAGCAACTCTCTCGGCCACCTTAGAAAAATAAAGTCAAAACAGTGCATTAAAGAAATTTTTTTAAAAATTCCACAAGACTGACCTATGATTTAGCTACTCATCAGCAGAAAATACCTAGAACCAAAGATGTTATATGTGAACAACAAAACACACACCCTGAAAACCACTTTTTCTCCTCCATTGAGGAGTGTTTCCTGTCAGCAACCCAAGAACAGGGCACATCTGAAAGGAACACGACCTTTCAGGCATTAGCAATACACTCACCCATTCAACAGGGCAAGCTTTTCCTCATAGGAAGTAACGTTCTATAATCATTTGACACTTAACTATCAAGAAGAGTAATTACTGTGCACTTAAAAAGCCAAATTCTTTCTTGTTCGTCAATATACCTCTAAAGGGCCTGACCCAACATCAGTGTTTACCTTAACTCACATTAGCACTGCCCAAATCCATTAAAATCACAGATATAAACCAGGATTAAATTCAGGGAAGAACGAGGCTTGCAGTGCCAGCGCTCTATTAACAACCAAAACTTATATCAAATTAGCGTATATTAACAAAATTGTTATTTGCAATAGAACTAAGATGATTGAAAATGAACACCCCAAAAACCATCTTCACTGTCTGCCATAGGCTGAATGCTTATCTTGAGCTTTAAATTTAGTACAAGTAGTAGATGTGATGGCAGAGCAGTTTCTACTACGAGAGGTGCACAGTACCTATCTGGTCATTTGCAATTTTTTTCAGATCTTAACTTCAAATAATGCAGCAGATTGTACAGTCAGATCACAAGCTTGCCCATGGATCATAGGCCCAGTAAGAAATACATTTTCATTCAATGATTCTGAGTAAAGCAGTAATTTTTCCTCAGATTGAGAGGAAAAAAAAAATATTAAAAAAAATAAATCACAAGAAATTAGTTAGTTTGTCAAAATGGCACTTACCGAGATAGCACTGATCCTCCTAGGCTGAGTACAAACAATCCTGCATGTAGACCCTTTCCCTCGCTCTATGTAATCATCCAGGATAAACTGTGTAACTTGGGTTGTCTTTCCACAACCAGTTTCACCACTTATCACAGTTACTCTATTATTGTTTATAAGGTTTACAAGTTCCTGTTTCCAAACAAAGAGAAAATATTTATTGTATTATTGTTCAAAACAATACGTTAACTTTAGAAAGGAAGCTCACTAATCATTCATTGAACCTGCAAAAGAAAACATAACAGAATACTCAATTTGTTTTGCACAGGCGACATCAAATGAAGAATTAACATCAATTAATAACAACCCATACTATCACTGATGTTTGTCTGGGAAACTGATGGCAGCAACAGCCAGCAGTACAGCCATGTGATTTTAAAAAAAAAAAAGGTTTAACTGGTATATTCAACTCTAAATTGGGCAAATGTTCAAATGGCCACAATTTCATATATATATATGAAAAAAAGGTATGACAGTTTACATAGCGGTAATTACTCTGTATAAAATTCAAGTAACTAGGAACATTCTAGAAGTTTAACTGGTAGAGAAAGAAGAAAAGATCTATACTTCAAAAAAAAAAAGAAAGTACTTAAATGTATCTAGCATTCAATACCATTTCCATGCATAATGCTGCCCCTACTGATAAAACTGTATATAGCCCCAGAGTAACTTCACACACATCATGAAGCAGTGAACCTCAGCTACTCTCTGGAAAGAAATCAAATCCAGTATCAGAACTGGGAAGGCTTCCGCACCTTCGTAAAAGGCAACAAAGGTTTCCTGTCAGTCCCAGTTACACAACTGTTTTCTATTTTACCACACACATTCTTTCAAATTAAACACACATTTTACCTGTCTCATCCCATATGAAGGGAGTTTCTCTCGGAATCTCTGGGGAAAAAGAAAATAGCAGTACATATCTTTAAACACCTTTTCAACACCGACGTAATAGAACAGGTTTCATCTGTGTTCTAGGCTAAACTGTGAAATAACGTGACAAACTGTTCAGCTAATACTTATATAAACAGAGGCCCACTAGAAATTAGTTTCATTCCATGCATGTTTTCAGTTTCATTAAATTTAGCAAAATTATTTGAAACCCACAGTTCAGTACACAAAGAGGTGCATATATTCAGCTACAAGACTAGGGCCTTGTATCAAAGGGAGAGCCACCTCTTCATCGTAAGATTGTTTTGTTTGACAACTTTATATATGGCTATTACAACAACATAAACTACGTTTTTAAGAGGCAATTCTGTCAGAGTCCATTTCTGTGCTCTCAGTTTTAGATGTAAATGCATGGATACAATCTGTTAAAAGACAAACAAAAACTCCACCCAACTAAACAACATGTACACTTCAAATTTTAGATTTTATGCAATCAGAAATTGTCACGGAAACTCTGTTTTTTAATCGCTGTCCTATTGACAGGCATGCATTTTGCAAACTCTGAAGGTAATTTTTAACTAAAGTAACATCATGACAACTTCCTAATAAATACATCACAAGTACTTATGTTTTCTGGTTAGTTTAATTTACAAAAAAGTAAAATCAAAAGCTTTCCACTTAACCGATGGAAAAGTACCTGCATTTCAATATATCTAGGATCAGATTTCTTCTTCCTTAAGTCTTCTTTGAGTTGCTCATCTAAATCATTATCCTGCTCATTTTTTTCAAAGAGATATTCCATATCCCGATCAAGACATGTTTTTTCCAAGACTGGTCTCTGTCTTACAGGAGCTTTTTCAACATCTGGTTTCACTTTTGCAGGCTGTTCCGGAGTAGGTCTGAAATAAGTGCAGAGAACAGAAGCTTCCAAGATCATTCAACATGTGCTTGGATCATTCAAGGCAAACTTTAAGTCTGTTTTTGAGACATCACATCCATGAGTTACTGAACCATCAGCCAAAAAGAACATGGTGTATGCCATTACAACAATCCAAGTCTGAAAATTACCAGCCACCACAAATTTTCCATCAGTATCTAGAAACGTGACATGTCCTTTTGCATCAAACGAAGCTAACAAAGCAACAAAACGTGTCCAGAGAACTACTGCTTAACCTGCTGTCAGCACCACTGCCCTGCAATTGGATCATTCACCCAAACACCTCATTTCAGTGGACTCAGCCACACACCTGGCTGCTCACTTCCCTGCTATTATTTAAAATCCTTTAAGCATTAAGAACAGACCCTATTTCTCAGAGGCCAAAAAAACATTCCAAGATTGCACAATAACAGAAAATGCCACCATTAAGGGAGCTTAAAAATATGAAAGCATTAGTAATTGTTTCTCCTTACCCTTCTTCATCCCCAGACCACCAGGACATGGCCTCTTGCTCTTTTTCATTTTTAGTTTGGACAGTATTCAACAGCTGCACAATTTGCTCTTCCCTGCGTTCATCCATATGCACAACAGCTCTCTAGTTTAAAAAATAAAAGTACAATTTTCATCACCACGTACTCAGCATATCTACAGCTATTACATTATTAACACCTAAATATGAAGCCAGTGAGGCTCTCTGGCATCATCTGAAACTGCTGTTTAAGCTTCTCCCTAGCAGTAACTTCCAGGCGCAGAGCCGAAGGCACCGTTACACCGTGCCGGGCAGCGCCCAGCCGGAGCCCAGGCCCGGAGGCGGGCAGGGGAGCGGGCCG